AAAAAAAAAAAAAAAAAAGAGGAGATGATTCATTCAAAGTCTAAACATGACCTGGCCAAGGTAAACATCCAGTGTTGACTCAACTAAGAAACTGATGCACAAGTAGAAAACCCAGTTTACCCAAAGTCGTGGGAAATTGCTAACTGCTCCTCCATTGCTGTTATCAATTCCTTGCTCTCTTCACTATTTTCTCCTTGCTCAATGACTCGAGAGCAGAAGAGATTTCATCATAAACTCTGACTCAGTGGTGGGACTAAGTGACCTAAAATCTCCACTGTTTGAGAATTCTGTCCGGGAGAAGAGAAATTTCCAGGGCTTGGGCTCCACGGTGGGAGGGCACTTCCTGTCACCATGGCGTCCCGGTCCACCTGCCCGTTCCAGCACCCCTGCCTCCTCCTCTTCCATCCACTGGAGCCGCTTATCCAGTCCCTGTTGTTGCCTTTCCGGAAGGTGCAAATAACCCCCCTCTTGTCTTCTCTCTTCCAGGTTCTTCACTTCCTTCGGACCCCCGGCTGGCGACCCCCCTCCACTGATAAAGAGACAGTAGGGTCAACCAGTTGAGCACAGCATCAAAACCAGCCTCTCCAGCGCGTACCACGCCTATCTGGACAGGCTCCCAGCCTCCTTCCCAGCACCCCCTCCTGCGATTCCCTGACTTCACACCAGCCGAATCCATCCAGTCTCTAAAACACACCTCTTTGCACTTATATTCTTGAACTTGGAGGTCAATTATTCTGAGTACTTTGGGATTCCACTCCCCCCCCCCAAATTACCTCTATGTTTCTTCCCACCTAGAGGACAAGGATGCAATTTTATCAGATTTTACCAAACAAGATTTTAGGTGGAAACGTTTGTAACCTGAGCCATAGAGTTAAGGCTGGAAACCTGTCCAGACCTAAACTGAACCATAAACTCTTCTCACTTTCTGACTTTAAAAATCCTACACTTGCCTGTAATCCATGATATTTAATACACAATGATGAAGTTTTAAGGTGATGGTGAGGTGGTCCAGAGCCAACGGCCAAGAAAGAATTCTTGAAGACATCTTTGGTGCAAAAAGGTGATTTTATTAAAGCACAGGGACAGGACCCGTGGGCAGGAAGAGCTGTCCTGACAGATAACTGATTAGGTACCCTCAGGTTGGGAGGGGGTCAGGGGTAGAGTAAGTCTGTAAGGAATTTTGGAAGCAGGGTTTCCAGGACCTTGAGGGGCTGGTGTTGCTAGGGAAATGCCACTTATCACCGTTTAGTAAAACCTCAGTCATGAGACCCTTCAGATATAGGGTGGGGTTGCATATGCTTGGAGTATGTTTGCCAGCATGTATCTCAGGGCGGTTAAGACAAAGGAAGCAGACTTGCAGGATCCTGGGGGGGTCAGGGTAATGTTAAGCCAAGGTTCCCTTTGCCCCCAGCGAAGTGTCATCATTGAGGCAGCTGACCCCGTAGAGGGAGGTCATTCTATCAGTTTTAAGAACTTGTCGATGGGCTGTAGGCAGTAAGGGAATTTAATTTTTCATTTGCCTTAGTTTCCCACATCACCATGGCAAGCACTTACACCCCTTTCTTTTGTTCTTGGACAGCCAGGAGTGTTCAAGGAAACACATGTCCCACCTGGGGGGGGAGGCGGGGGGAGGCTATAACCTGTACTTTGCCCTCAGCTCACCCCACACAGGGTGGCAGAAATCACTATGTATCAACCACTGCCTACTTTTCCCATTCAGACTCCAACTTTTCCTTGAGCTAGGACTCCTTGGAGGAGAACTTTCTTGCCCAAGGTGACACAGCTAATGAGCGGCAGTTAAATAAAACCTCCAGACTCCCCATTCTCACTTCTGTTACTGACTTGATCCTGCCTGAAAATCGACAGCAAGTTTCTTGTGTTTTAATTAAAAGTAACAGGAGTTTGGTTCCTTTGGTTATAAAGGAAACAGGTTCAGCTTTTGCTGAGATGCTGTCCACCTCTTCATCCCAGATTCAAACCCAGCCTCTGCAACCCAGACCTGACATAGAGATTTTGGTCCCCATTTAGTTTTACTTGAATATTTTCCCTGAATTAGATCATCTCCGTTGGCATCTGGGATCCCCATTCAGACCTCCAGGATTTTCTTTACTCTGGATGTAAGTGTGAGGCATACGACTTATCCCTAAATCTGCAACTTTAAAATAATATTGCATATGTTTATGTAATATTTGTAGTTCACCAATGTCCTTCACATCGTTAATTCCATTTAGCCCTCCCAGTAAGCCAGTTAGGCAGATAGGACACACATTCCTTGCTGGAATTTGCAATGGAAAAGTGAGGTTCAGACAGGGGACATGACTTGGGCAGTGTCAGAATAGTGTAGACCTAGTGTTTGGGAATGGAGGAAAGTCCCAGAGAGACCACAGTCCTTTTGCATTTAATTTTCATCCACACGTGTTCTTAACCTGCTGACTTCCTTTCCCAAACTTGCTGAGGTCTGGGACTCTCCCCTGGTCTGGGCTGACTGTGGCCCCGAGACTTCCCCAGAGCCAGGAGGCCTGGCACACAGCCGTGTCACTGACCCCAGCTTTCTGCTCCAGGGAGAGCTCTGCTGCTTGGAGGTGAGGGTGGGAGGCAGTGAGAGGAAGGGTGTGTGCTCCCCAAGGTGTTCTTGTCTCTTACTCCAGCTCTAATGGGCTGGGGGAGGGCGTGGGAGAGAGCTCCGTGTCCTGGCACAACTACCGGAACCTGAGGAACCCACACGGTTGGAAACCAGAGCCCTCCCACCTGCAGATTCTGCAGTCTATGCCTCAGGCCCTTGCTCCCAGGGAAAGAATAAATATGCTAAATAAAAGATGCCTTTTGTCAACAAACATGCCCTGTGGCCATCGCCAATGACGTCCCAGATCTGTGAGGCTTTGAGAAA